GCTTGGTTGTCTGTCTCTAAGTGTAGCCCTGTGATAGACTGGTTACCTGTCCAGGTGAACCTGCCTTCACCCTGAGTCAGCTGGGATAGGCTCCGCGCCCCATGACCCTAGTGAGGATGAAGGTGTAGAGATGATGGATGGATTATATAAAATCTGTGCAAACTCTGCAGTGCAAATGCAGTCATCCTGTCCCGGTCTTTGGTGAGCTCAGCCTGCTTTAGCCTGTGAGGCTGACAGAACCTTCAGGTTCTGCCCTGAACATGCAGTCATGTGAGTGCAACATCCAAACACCTCGAAAAGAACCAAAATCTTAAAAATCAACTTTACACAGTTCGGAGCACGCTGGATCTCCTTGGGCCTGTGAGGCGGGTCATCTCTGAACACGTTAATACATTCTGCAGTGAACATGCATTCATGCCAGCAAACTTCAAATACAAGCCTTACCTAAAGTGTTCTGGTCGTAGAGTTTAGGCATCCATGGGAAAATAAAGTCGAGCACTCGTCTTTCAGATGTTCAATGTTCAGATGAATACAGTATGAACACAACAAGGAGACCAACTTACATGGTCCTTGCTGTACTAAATCCAGGTTACATAGCTTGAAGGTACAGTTATGAGCCGTGTGTGTTCTACAGCCCCTGATATGAGCAACATGAAGCTGGACCTTTAAAGAGGAGGAGGAGGAGGTCTGTGGATCTTAGGAGGCCGGTGTAGCAGTGATGTGGAGTGCATGGAGCAGCAGAAGTTATAAAGCAGCTCAGTGGGTGGAATGGGCAGAACCGGGCCTGGTGACTCCTGTCTGAACGAACGCATAAGCTTCAGATTATAGATGTTTTTAAACTCAAGCTTTGAGAACTTGCACTAGAAAGAAGGAAGCACGGCTGTTGTTCACACAATGTGCTTCATCTCATTCCAGTAGCTGGAAATTATTCGTTTCTTCATTTAATTAACATCCCAAACTCTTGTTATGGTTTATGGAAGCTGCCTCTCCTCAAAAATAAACCGGATCAGTATCACGCTGTGACGAGACATGATCAGGTTTTAACAACATACTCACTCATCCCATTATAAAATGATACGTTTTTATCTCGTTACAACGACATAGGTGTTCTAACGAGATAACATTTATGTCGTTATAACGTGAAACCAGATCACGTTTGAGAAGACGGCGGCGGATAAAAGGAGGCATATGGCTCATTCACACCATGTGATGAACTTCTCCTTCATGCTGGGCCGAGCCGTGGTGGTGCAGTCACTGTGGACGATGTGGTGATAAGAAGGGTTTTAAATGTGTGGGACTGAAGGAAGAATGGATCCGACCCATTAAAGGGCACTGGTACTTTCACATGAGTAAGCTGTGAATACTTCCTCCACCACGGATCATTTTGTAATGTGTGTTTTACCGTCATGTCCTGGTCCTCAAACCACCAGTAGCTTCCTGGAGTCCAGTCAGGGCTGTCCAGTGTCTGCTACGAGGAAGAAGCACTGTTCACGTCCACAGTGTGTTGAGCAACGCCGGTGACTACCAGCTTACGTCGGCCCGGTTGCTTTCACCACACTGTTTCCACATTCTGCTGGACACGGTTTCAACACATGAGCACTGAATCTGCATTTTCTTCTGTAACCCAGACGTGATTAACCCGAGGAATGAGGCTCACTGACAGGAAGCAGCTGTTCTGTCAGAAAAGGGAAGTGATCTCCTGAAATGACTGTAAAGCCAGCAAACACCCCGGGAACAGAAGTCTGTGTTAAAACAACAACCAAACTATCTAAGTTAAGGACAGATCTGACCAGGGAGCAGTTTGGTTGGTGTTCAGTAGAGTTTATTAGGAAGCTTTCAGTGTGTCAGCACAGGCACTGCTAGTGTGTAATAGTGCATCTGAATACTTCCACAGACCAACTAGTACACACTAAATCAACAATGCTGGAAAATATAAGGACAGGATTAAAACTGGGATTATGGTCGATGCAGAAAATCACCACATAGAAACAATAAACAGTATTTAAAGTCCCTTGAGAACCTTGAACCAAACGTCACAGGCTGCTGGCATTAAAGCTCGTACCGGGCCGCTGGTCCAGGTGTCGAGGCTACATACAAGGCTTTTTAAGGAATAAAATAATAAGAACTGTGCTGAGTTGTATTCAAAGATATTGGTCTGGGATGGGAACACAAAGGTCTGGGCGGTTGCTTCTGGTCTCTTCACTGCTGCCATGGATTGACAATAACAAAATCTAGAACCACACGAGTCCCGTCCTGGTCCAAGCTGATTACGTTTGATGATGAAAGGACTGAATGTGAGGACTGCATCACTTCATTTAAGCAGGTTTGATAGAGACAGACTCTTCTCATATGGTAAAAACAAGAACAAACAACTTCCTGCATCCCCCAACTGATAAACACACAACCCACTATTCTGCACTGACTTAAATTAACTCATGCTGCTGCTGTCGGGACGCTTCTACAAAACAAAGTCATGTTCAGAACTCGTCCATCCATCCATCATCTGTCCACCTTCACCTGAAGAACAGGTTTTCAACATGTGTGTTCTTTAAGTGATGATCACGAGAATCTGAACAACTTGTAGTCCTCATTAATCCCACACGCCAGGATGTTGATGTGTGTGTGTGTGTGAGAGTGTGTGTGCGTGTATGTGTGTGTGTGTGTGNTTCACCTGAAGAACAGGTTTTCAACATGTGTGTTCTTTAAGTGATGATCACGAGAATCTGAACAACTTGTAGTCCTCATTAATCCCACACGCCAGTGTGTTGATGTGTGTGTGTGTGTGAGAGTGTGTGTGTGTGTGTGTGTGTGTGTGTGTGTGTGTGTGTGTGTGTGAGTGTGTATGTGTGTGTATGGGTGTGTGTGTGTGTGAGTGTGTGTGAGGGTGTATGTGTGTGTGTACACTGTCATGAGGACGTCACTTCATTGTGAGGACCTGTTGGCTCGTCTTTACCACTTCAGGCTGTTTGAGGTTTTATTCTTGGTTGGAGGGTTCAGGCTGGACCCAGGTTCTGCTCAGTGCGGTTCAGAGCTGGCATGAGGTGTTGTGATGGTTACGGTACGGGGTTGGAGAAGGCCTTACATCAATAAGTGTCCTCACAACAGCAGTAAGACATGCATGTGTCTAGTAGTCGTAAGCCGAGGGGGGCGACCTCTGGGATGTGGTTCTGGTGCTTTGGCTGCTCAGGCTGATGTGTCTCTGCAGACAGGGGACCTTCTTGGCCATCAGCCTTTTAAAGTGGCTCTGGAACTTCTTCCCCACAAACGTGTAAAACACAGGACTGATGCAACAGTACAAGTAGGCGATGTTCCGGGTCACGTAGAAGGCGTAGTCCAAGTTCTCTGAGTCAGAACATGATTCTTCCTCTTTGGTGCTGGAGATGTGAATAGCTCGCAGCAGGATGACCACGTTGTAGGGCGTCCAGCAGGTGAAGAAGGTAAAGATGATGACAAATATGAGCTTGATGGTGCGGCACTTCTCCTTCATGCGGGTGGACAGGATGCGCACGGTGATGCTGATGTAACAGTACATCACCAGAAACAGCGGCAGGAGGAAGAAGAGAAGGAACTGCTGGTAGTAGCTGACCAGGCGCCAGCGGTCCATGGTGCTGTCTGGAAACCCAGACTCCTCACACATCAGGCCATCTAGCGGATCCTTCCACACATTACGAAGCACCAGCTCCTTCACGCTCGCTGCAACGCTCACGCACCAAACTGCCACCGAGGCACCAAAGGCATAAGCCCGTTTCCTGCTTTTGGCTGCTGCCACGGCATGAACCACTGCCAGGTATCGGTCAAACGTCATGAGTGTGAGGAAGAGGATGGAGCTGTAGAAACCAATGAAGTAGGCGCTGCTGACCACCTTACACAGAACCATGCCGAAGATCCACTCGGACAGATGGTATGTGGCCCAGAAAGGGAGACTGGAGGCAAACAGGATGTTGGAGAGGACCAGATTGAGGAGGAAGATGTTTGTCACTGTGTTCAGCTTCTCGTACTTGTAGATGATGACGAGCACCAGCCCGTTGCCGACGTAGCTCAGGAGGAAGTTGATGTAGTAGAACACTGGGATGAACTTTGCACCAAACTGGTTGATGACGGTCTTTGCACAGAGCTCGACGTTGCCACTGACCACGTAGCTCGTGTCAGTCGTGTCATAGGTTTCATTTGAAAAATTCAAGAAGAGCAGATATTGGTCCTCATCGTCGCTCATGGTGGAGGTTTGTCCTGTGGGACGACACACATTCAGAGTCCATGTTAGTCTGCTGCCTGTCGGTAAAAACGATGGCTCATCACAACATTACAACTAACCTCACCAAATGAGCTTTTCACAAAACAGACCAACCAGACGGACTATAATCCCCTACAGGCCGGTAACACGTCAGATCACCGGCAACACCACGGCCAGAAAACTGAGGATGTGTCTCATTGTTTAATCATTTCCCAGACATATTAAATTTCTCTTTGTGCTGTTTCTACAAACCCAGACAGAGTTATGTGCTATATACCGCCGCATTCTGTGCTTCTCATCGCTGAAACAAACCGCGTTGTTTTTCAGGGTCGTACATCCACGGCCCTGTAGGAAGTCTGGTAGCTCTGGTCAGCTGACTGTGTACCAGTGTGAACTACTCCTCTGAAGTCTGTGTGCTGTACTATGGTTTTTCTTTTGTTTAGTGTGCACTGCAACATTCCCAACCCCACGAAACTGAAACAGCTGAACTGAGACCTAAACGGCCCTTCGGAGCTTCAGTCCTGATGGTAGGACTGTGTGCTCAGTGAAAATGTTCCTGCTGTGAGATGGAACACTGTGATGAAATAACGGTTGCTGCGGTGACTTGTGCATACTTCATCATATCGTGTTGGCTTTTTGACTGTTTCAAAACGGGGAACCAAGAGTGCTGACTGTGCTGGTAAAAAGCCCGACTCGCTCAATGAGTGTGTGACACTGGTTCCCAGAAGTTGTTCATGAGCAGTGAAACATATTTAGCTTTTATACACATTCCATACATACATGTAGTACGTGCACTGCGTTTGGAGCTGACCAACATGCTTCCCTTCCAGGCTGCTGATGCTAGTGTTCACGTACACCGACTGGCAGCCTGCAGGTCTCATTTCAAAGTGAACCCGGAGCTTGTTCCGATGTTCGCCAGTCTTTGTCAACATTCACTGCTGCAGTTGATTATTTAAATGTTTTCTGAAGTGCTGACGCCTGTTCGCGCTCTGTGCTTGGATTAAAATGTCTTTTCGAATTTCTGCTCACGATGCATTTACAGAATTATCCAAAAGTACTATTTACATAAAGAATGGCTTTTGCATAGAAGACATTTAAAGGAGTTAAAATGAGCAGCTAACAGCCCAGCCACCCAGCTGTCCCCCTCGGCACAGACACCAGTCAGTGGGTGGCGCTGTCCACAGGTCTGGCTGCTGCTCAGCAGCTCACAGCTGCTGCCCAAAGTAAACCAGAGCTGAACTTCATGTGGAATATTCGTGTGAATCAATGGTGAGCCCAGGGATCCATTTGAACTAATGAACTTGCAGAACTTTGGCCTTTTAAAGACGGGCCCAGGCCTCCACTAGTTACAGAAAAGAGGAAGCAGTCCTTCACCGTCCTCTCTGTTTCCATACTGAAAGGAAACTCATGTTAAAAACGTTCTGTTCACTTCTGGTTTTGCCCTCAGAAAGCTGCATTTAGTCACAGTTGACTGATGCTTCGTGAGCCGCTGGTTTGCTCTGAGTTAAGTGTGAAAACAGAAGACCTATACGATTCTTCTCTCCCTCTCTCTTGCTATGTAGCTCTATCTATATATATATGTGTGTGTGTGTGTGTGTGTGTGTGTGTGTTATGCAGCCACGATGACTCATTGGTCTTCCAAGGTATCACTGTGACAGGAGCCTGGTGCTGAGGGGGGGAGCGACTGGCATCTATCATCTGTTATTGGGTGTTTCTGTCTGGTTGTAGACGTTCATCCTTCATCCATAAATACTCTAATAAGCAGTAAACATCAAGGGTTATTCGTGTAGTTTCCTCATTAGCCCTGGTACCGGCCAGGACTCCTTCTTTCCACTTCAAAACAAACAAACCGCAGCGTGTCAGAGATGCTGTGAGATCTTCGTATCGAGACAGTCATCAGGTTACGATGCCGCTCGCCGATGTCAGCTGGAACGTTGCCTTATTATTTACTACTCAGTCTCTTGCATTAAAAGGTAATTTAGCCGCTGCTTCAGAGGTACTTGCAAATGTAATGCAATGTAATCATAAACTATCGTCACATAAAAGATAAAAACTGCATTAGTCCAGGCTTCAGTGAACAGATTAGGCTGTAACAGTAGTTAGAAGGACTGCCACCATGACTGCTCTGGTAGGAAGTATTAGAAAACACAACTGGGATATAGAGCCTTATATATATATATATATATATATATATATATAATTTTTAATTTTTAATTTTTTTAAAGACTCATAAGGTATTTTAGTCTTTTGCATGGAATTAACCTCACTGCTGTTTGTTCTGATGAAAACTCACTGAGACAGACACGTTTCATCTTCACCGTGCATCTTGCAGGTCATTAAAGTCCCAGTTTTAAACTAGAATTATGAAGCAAAAAGCCGTCCATGCACCTTTCACAAAGAAGCATTACCTGTTAAATAGACGAAAATAATTACAGGTGTCAGAGTGCTGAAGGCTGATTAAACTCACCGGGGCAGATCTCGAGGTATGCAATAGAAGGAGCACAAGCGAGGATGCAGGAGAGCAGTGAGTGACTCTACAGGGTTTGTTGTGTCTGAGAATAAAGGCAGCATCATAAGGGGCTGTCCTCCAGTAGACCAGTGGGCTGCAGCCATTCTGTCTGTAGCTCCAACCGTGTGTGTGCTGGTTCTGAACACTGTTGACTTAAAGCGCTGCCACCAAACCTGAAGCTTGATCTGATGGTAAACACTGTAAAGAAGACTCAAGTTAAGGCTCTCCCGCTTCAGATGTGGCTTTGTGGAGATGAAATGCTGTCCTCTGTGTCCATCCATCATCTCTACACCTTCATCCTCACCAGGGTCATGGGGGGACGGAGCCTATCCCAGCTGACTCAGGGTGAAGGCAGGTTCACCTGGACAGGTAACCAGTCTATCACAGGGCTACACTTAGAGACAGACAACCAAGCAC